TAGGAGACCTTTTTAGGCACCAAGATGACAGGCAGAAGGGAAAAGCCTGAGACCAGGGTGACGTCTGAGGCAGCACTACATGCCATTCTTGCTCTCAGCCAAGGCTCTGTGTGAAAACTTTGACTCAATTAACAGCCTTGTTAAAAAAAAAAATAAAATAGTTTGCCATTGTGGGATGGTTTAGGCAGAAGACACATGACAAAAGTGATTCAGAGGGCCTGGCTGTTCTGTCAAAGCTGATGCTGTGGGGTGCTTTCAGTTCCAGTGGGCCTGCCTCCACAGTAAAAAGATCGGACTGATGAGGCTCTGGAAGAGGCCTTTTCCCCTTCAGAAGGAGAGAGGGAGCTGTTGGCAGCGGTTGAAAAGAAGTGTCGGGGTGCTGGCAGGAGGGTAAAAGAGCAGCAGAAGCTTGAGGGGACGTTGCCAGAAGCAGCACGTGTAAAAATGGCTCGGTGGGATTCCTGACAGTTGCAAGAGGCAGCGTAAAGAAACCCCGTCCCATCGCTTTGCCCGTTGCATAAGCAAATAGTATTAAGTTAGCCGTTTGATGATGTTCAAATGGAATTAAACCTTCAGGTATTAAACGGGATTAACATGAGGAAGATTTTGTGCTCTGCTGTGTCCTGTCAGTATACACCAACTTCATTAGGAGGGCAGTGACAGGGGCGAGGACATGAAAAAGCAGCCCGGGAATCATTAACAAAAATAACAAAATCTCAGCAGTGCTTATTGAGTCAATGCCACTGATTTGGGGAGGGGATAGGAACCTTGCTACCTTGCTAATTTGCTGTAGAACAAATTAACCCAATATTGTATTTCTCATTATTCTTAGCCTCACTTAGCTGTTGTTAAGCCATTTTCTGTTGTCACTCCTCTTAATAAAATCTGTGACTTGAATAAATTTCCCCAGCAACTTTGTATTGGCACCACATCTGTGGTATCAGCTAAAGATTGTCCTTTATCTGTTCCTTACAAAATGTACCCTGACTGAAGTTTCCTATTGTAGTGCTTCTCATCCTGGAATTTAGTATAGAGTAAGCCAGCTTAGTATTAACATTTTGTTTGTATTGATGGGCAATCAGTTGTTTTTCTGATAATGCTAAAGACAACACAAGACAGCAGCAGTAGCAAACGCAAATGAAATGTGATCATCTTATCTTATAATTACTTGCGTGAACAAGCTCTGAAAAAATTAATACTGCAACAAACATTTCCTTGAAAAGTCAATCTACCTTTTGCTAAAAAAGACCAAAAAAAACAAAAACCCAAACACTTACAAATACCCTAAAGCAAAACTCATGCTGCAGAAACTTATGACCTGGCATCCTCAGTGAAAGAGCGTACCTGCTACTTGCTAGATGAAAGCACGGCTTTTTAAGAACGAGATAAGCAAGGCAGAGGCAGCTGAGCGGAGGGCTGCTGTTCTGCCAGGTTTGCCCCAGCCAACTGAAAAATACGGAGTCTTTCCTTGTGCAGGAAGCAGTAGCACAAGTCTGCCACTAAAGAAAAATCATCTCGTTGACAAACAAGGAACAGTTTCTGCCTAACGGCGATTTTGGAGTAAGGAGAAGCTCCTTTCTCAGTGCGACCTTCTCTTCTGCGAAGTGACCACCAGCTCCATCGGCTGAAGGCAGCCGTGGTCCTCCGCTCCCTGAGCTCTCTCAAGTACAGCCACCGCCTCTGCGTATTGCGCTTCTCTCTGCAGCGTCTCAGAATCAGGGCTGCGTGCCCTCACAGACTCCATTTCAACTCACCAGATAACAGCACTCATCTGGCATTTTTTTTTGGTCAGCCCCTACATGCTAACTTGTTTTTGTCAGCAGACGTACGGGGGCATGAGCTGAAGTTTCCCCTCACAACTGTGTGCATATGACGCATGAAAAAAGAACGTAGCACCGAGTCGTTTCACGT